TACGTTGCTGAAGTAATTTTAAAGACTTGAAGCATATACTTGTTATCCAAATGTCTAAATTTAACAAATGTATTATTTAAAAGTAAACAACTCTTTTCAAATTACACATATCATGATCTTTTTGGTCACAAGACTACAAGTTAAAATTGTCACGTTATCAAACTTAAAGCACATTGAGATGGTCACCAAAAAATCAGAAGTTCAAATTTTTAAAGAAAAAGAAAGCAGTCTATTGATAGAAGTAAATTCATTTTTTTGTTATTGTTGTTTAGTCTTAATTTTCTCTTTGGATTTTTGGTTTCTGCTCATATGTAAGTATATATATTGTAAAGAGTTAGTGCAATGATCAGATGGTGCAATTCAGAATTCAGAATACTAGAGCCTAAATAAAAATATTTCTAGATGAAGCCACTGTCCAGTGACTTGGTTAGAAAGATGAATAATAGTGAGGATATCTGTGTTTTGCAATACAATTAACTATGTTTAATATTATAGAATATATGTGTGTATATACACATTTCTTAAAAATATAGATTGTATTTCTGTTCCCAGATTATTATCACTTTAGAGAATCTTGAAAAAGGGAAGAGAAGCCTTTCCGTGTTAAAACTGGGAAAAGTAATTATGCAGACTAGAAGAATATGTCAGGAATTTCCTATATAGAGATCAGCATTATTTTCCTTTGATGGAATTCCAATATGCTTTTTATAAATGAGAGTGGATGAAACTCAGATGTGACAGTGAAGAAAAAATAATACTAAGCATTTAATACAGAAACATATGAAAATTAACAGATTTCAGCCCTTTGTGTAGGTTCAGTTTCTATTTTTTCTGAGTAGCAGAAAGCAGAACAAGACAATCTCTGAGCAGTGGTATCACAACCTCTCTTGGGTCAGTGGATCAATCCAGTGGTGTGAACAGCTGTGTATGAAAGTGTAACTAGGCCACAATTTCCAAGTGTAGATGAAATTGGTAGTTTTCCCACCCTTGCCCCAAGTACAATCCAAGTATTTCAGCAGCCTGCCAAATCTCCATGTAGTATAGAGCTCTGGAATGCACCCTGCTTCTCACATCCTATGCTAACAGGGCTTTAACTGGTGTAATTTAGAGCAGGGAAGATGTGATGATGCTTCCACACATGATGAATGTTGTGCATGACAAGTTGACTTCTTAAAAATTTATCTTTTTGTAGTCTGCTTTCTTGATGCTAATTCATTTGGGGGAAAATTGGTATTCTTTTTTCCTTATCCTGTTTTCCAGAGAATTCTAGCCTTAAGTGATCGAATAGTCCATTTGCCTTTTGTTTGCCCCTTCAGGTCATTTTTGAGTCCATTGATAAATCAGGAGCTGGAGAGCCCCTCTGTGTGTCTGAGTTGAGGGGGAAGTCAGTGGATTTTTTTCCCTTTCTTTGCTCTCTGCCTGGTTGGCTGCCAGTGAGCAATGTGGGACAGACTGGCCGGGCTGTCCTCAGGGTGCCCAGCCAGCAAACTGGACAAACACGGACCAGGAGATGTGCCAGGGGTGATCCTACATGTGAGAGGGATCTAAGGGTGTTGTGCTGCAATAGGGAGTACAGAAGGACATGCAGGACAGGGATCATTGACTCACTCAGATTATAAATTGAGTGGTCATTTGGTCCAGTCTCTTGCTCAAACCTGGGTCAGCATTAAATTCAGACAAGGTTGTTTAGAGCATTATCTGTCTGAGTCTTAAAATCCTGGGAGGTGGGAGAGTCTACAACTATTTTGTGCAAAGTGTTCCAATACTTAATTGTCTTCATAAAAGAATTCTTCCCTATATCCAGTCAGAAACAGCTGTTTCAGTTTATGAATTTATGTCTCATTCTTCTTCCAGGCAGCCTCAGTAAAGAGTCTGACTCCATCTTTGCAATAAATTCCCCCCTAAGCCCTCTTTCTCCAGGATGAACCCTCAGGTTCTCCTCTTACAGGTCATATGCTCCAGCTCCATAACCACCTTGCTGACTTTTCCTTGGACTCAAGTTTTTTCAAGTTTTTCTTGTACCAGGTGACCCAAAATGGCAGTATTCTGGATGTGGGCTGGGTGAGGAGGAAGAATTGCTTCCCTTGATGTTTTGGTTCCCATTGATCCACTGTTTTGCTGTAGACACAGCCCACTGTGCTGCTCATGTTCATCACTGCCAGGGTGCACTGCTGGATCCTGGACAGCCTGCTGGCCTCCAGGCTCTTCCTGCTTCCCATCAGTGCTGCTGCCCTAGGAGGCAGGCAGTCCCCAGCTGGTGTTGTTCCGGGGAGTGAGTCCATCCCAAGTGCTTTGCACTCATCCTTCAGGAATTTCCTGAGGTTCCTTCCCCTCTGCACCTCAGCGTGGTGCCATCTGTGGTGAGGATGGTCTGTGGCTCACCCCTGAGGTCACTGAGACAGCTGTTAAAAAGGCCAAGTCCCAGGACAGATTCCTGAGGGACTCCATGGCCTCCAGGTACTTTTCTGGACTTGAGAATACTGTGTTGAGGGACTTCAGGAGGAGAAAGTTACTGGGATATTGCAGAGGCTGATGAAGAGGACAAAGGACAAGAATCTGAAGGAACCAGGCATCTCAGAATGGTCTGTTGGTTAGTTAATGGATGAATTTCTGAAGAGTTAAATGGACAAGACAAACTGTCTAGTGCTTGAATTTACTTAGAATGATAGTCTTTAAAATCAGAAAAACCTTTAGTCTGTAAAAACCAAGATGGTGACAGTTCTTTATTAGGAAAGGGGGGTGTGTGTTTTCAGGGAAGTTGGGTAGCTGTAGTTACACCACTGAGATTCAAAGAATTTTACCAATAACTCACTCATACCCTTACCTAGAATACTTGGCAGAATTTTCCATCTCAGACCTCATTTCTGGATACTAGTTAATTAAATTTCCCTTCTTTCTTGCATTTTATCCTTCAGATTAGGGTTTTTTGATTGATGGCTTTGCTTACACATGTTTGCATAATAAAATGGTGCATGCTCAAGTAGGCCTTGATAGTGCCAGTCTGACTCGGAGGAGTCTCTCCTGCCCGTAGGAATCGTCCTCCTTCAAGGACTTCAAGGACTTCATTTGCCTGGGTGGCACTTGCAGCCTTGGGATTTAATGTGTGTGTCTGCTTTCCATTACACGTTCAGCTCTCAGCAGCCTGAGCGGGGTTCCAGCTCTATTACACACCACAAATTGGGCACCAAGAAAGGTTTAATTTAGCTTTTTCCACGATAAGGCCAAAATCAGTTAAAAGGCATATATATGTACATTGTGCTGCAGTCCTTAGGGTAACGTGTGCGATACGGAGCCGGCGATGGCTTCACTCGGTGGAAGAGGTAACGACTTCAAAGAATCATTAAAAAAACGAACACCGGCAAGAGCTGGCGAGGAGAGTTGTGCCGTGGGAGGCGCGGCAGCGGAGCCGGGGTACGGCAGCACTGAGATGGGCTCGGCAGGAGCCGCGGGAAGGGGCCGGTCCTGCTGCTGGAGCCGCGGAAAGGGGCCAGTCCGGTGATGGAGCTGCGGGAAGGGGCCACTCCTGGTGATGTGCTGCTGGAAGGGGCCGGTCCCGGCGGGACGGAAGCCAAGGAAAGGGGCTGATCCCAGTGATGGAGACGCAGGAAGGGACCGCTCCCGGTGATGGAGCGGGCGCTGACAGGAGCCGGTGGTGCTGCCGAGCGCTGCCAGCTCGGCTCCCATCACACACGGGGATGGAACTGAGCACCCAGCCGGGGAACACACCGCTCCTGTCACACACGGGGTGATGGGAACACACTGTTCCTGTCACACACGGGGTGATGTGAACACCCCGGCGCTCACTTTCTCCACCTCATTTTTAGACGTGTGATGGTTCCTTGCTCTGGAGTTTGGCCAGGCAGAGGTGGGAACGCCTCGCCAAACAAACAAGCCTCCCATGTTTGTGTTGGCTCGGAGGCCCCTCCACAACCAAGGGTTCCTCCTGCAGTTCACACTTTCCAAAATAGTCTCCAACAAAGGTCCTGTGGTGGTTTGCATACCCGTTATGTGTCCCAGCCAAAGCGCTCTGAGAAGTTTCGTGCTCATTCGGTGGAAAACTGACTCGGTATAATCAGCTTGTTTATTCCTTTATGGTGGGTCATCTCTAATGATCCGCACAAAATGCAACTACTGATGTTTTCCTGTATGAAATATATATATATATATATATATATCTGTGTGTGCACACAGGGAGTTTGCTATACAGAAAACTGTCCTGCTGGGACAACTCACATATATGCCTTGGTAGGACTGTAGCTTAGATTGGTGTGTATATTCATGTATCTACGGTTTTATATCTAATACTTAGTAATTATTTTGATGAATTTAGGGATTCTTAAGTGTTGCCTTTATCATTCTTTTAGCAGCTTAGGTGTTTTTAAATGTATCAATACATTAGGCTGCAGACTGTTTGCTTTTCTTATAAACTCAGCATGAAGTATCAAATGTCCAAGTAGCTATGAATATGTGTTTGGGGGACAACTGGTGTTTCTATATAACTTTTTTATATTACTTTACTTCTTCATATTTAATTAATAGGGATTTTTTCCCTAAAGAATTTCTGTTGTCAGTACTATGCCAATAGTGGAGGCTAAAGGATGGAACACTGTGCTTTGGGCTGCAACCTCACTTCATGGACACTGAAATTCATTTGCAGTAATGCTTCTGAAAACAAATTGCTTTTTCTTGTGTAGAACAACTGAGAATTCAAATTGTCTCATATTCTGTTATGCTTTCTTGTAATATATTAGGATAAACTTCAGCAAAGTTCTCAAATGCTTTCAAGTGTTAAAGAAATTCTCTGATTTCTCTTTCAAACTTTTAAAGTACAGTCACGTCCTTTTCAAGGGATCATCAATGTGTCACCAAAGCCACGTAAATACAGTCATGGATTTTTCTGTTCAAGAAAATGAAGTTATGACTTAAAGCCCTTTAGAACTTTGGGGTTTCATTTGTGGGGGTTAAGCTAATTCTGTTTTGTTTTGTTTTCTTTGCTTTAGCTAAAAAACTAGGAATTACTGATGTGCCAGCTGAGGTCGTTACTTTTATTTCCCATGCAACACAAAACAGATTGAGGACAGTGATAGAAAAAGTGACAGTGATAACCCAGCACCGGATGGAATCATACAAGGTAAGTGTACAAAGGTGTTATATTTTACAGAGAGGTGTGATGCTGGTTTTTCTTAGCACATGGAGATATTTTGGTTCATTCTGGGTGCAAAGCTTGTCTTAGTTGCAGGTTTGACCACCTCAGCAAACAGAAAGAGGTGGGATGGGAGATCTGTTGTCAGCTCCGTCCTCCTCCTCTGCAACAGAATTTGTGTGTGAATTGTTTTGTCTTTCTCTGCTGAAGTGTCTGACAGGGAGCATCTGCTGAGCTATTTCTGCTCATGGGCTGTTGGTTCTTGACAGCCCCTTTTTTGACCAAGGTATCTGTTAATTGGATCAAAATTGCTTTGGTATTTCAGAATCTGTAATAACTTTATGTGTCCTTGGCTGTGAGAAATATTAATATTTTGCAAAAGCTACCAATGTGTCTTAAACGAGCAATTAAAGAATTTACCTCTAAATTCTTTGCTGTAATTAAACATGATTTTCTCTTTAAAAAGAGCATTTAAAGGTAAAATGCTACTCAGATTCTTTTGTTAGTGGTTGTGTTCCTGAGGAAACTGAAACAACTTTTATATGTTAAACCGGGGGGAAATTTAAATAAGAATCTGCAAACCAGGTTGAAATTCAAATTAATCAAACATCCTTATTGATATATTTGAAATACCTTTTTCTATAGAAGTAAGATGCTAATAGTTGTTAAACTGGTGTAAAAGCAAGATGGCAATAACTGGTTGTGTGTTGTCTAAACTGTGTTTAGATTTCTTTAGCATATATATACATTGAGTAGCTCTGGATTAGTTTTTTTCTTGGTTTTGCTGTGTACTGTTTTGTTTTCCTGGAGTGGAATTCTGATCAAACGTCTTTGGACTGCATCTTTGCCCACCTGTTTCCCAAACCTGAGTCACAGTCAGACTAATTCCATGTGATATTTGCACAAATAATCACCTTTGGCATCTCTGACTACAGTCAACATTACTGTGATAGAAAATGGATTACAAAAATAAAGGCCACTATTCCTGATTATTACCTACACTTATATCTTTTATTGCAGTTGATGGATATATTCTGCTATACTGGACTAAAAGGAAAATCTCCTTGTTTCTTTCCAGTATTCTTTGTCAGCTTCAGCACAGTTAAATCTCTCCTTTCTTCTCTCTAGGACGGTGTCTGAGGAGAAAAAAATTGACTTAGTCCCTCTTAAGCCAAAGATACATTTATAATAATATCTTAACACATTCTTAGGAAAAAATGAGCGTTGTCTCTGATTAAATTGTAGCATTGTCATTGCATTTTATGTTTTTCTTGGTTAATGGTCTTCTTTGATTTCATAGCATTGCACTCAAAAAGGGAAACATTAAGTAGATAAATGGGATGGAAGTAATGTGGATCACTTATTTTTCCGACTGACATTCTAAGTGTTCCCACGTGGCTCGTGTCACAAACTCTTGTGGTTGTTGTGTACTAGGAAAGCTTACATGCTCTTAGTTGCAATAAGCTTCAGTTTTAATTGTCATTAGAGGCTTATTTTCAAGTGAATTTTTAACTTTAATGCTTTTATAATGCTGCATCTTGATAAGGTCTGTTACTAGTTCAAGATGAGTACAGATACAGGAATTTTAGGTTATAAGCCTGGTTATAAACTGTATCTGGGATTATTCAGTAATAAACTTAAGCATCTTAGAGGTTTTTCATCAGTAAGTCTGTTGGTTTGTTTTTTTTTTTAAACTGTTTGATGTCTCTGGTGCCGATAAATCAATCTTGTGTTTTATTGATTTACTTAGATATTAATTAACTAATCAGATTCTAGCTGCATTACTAACCATAGGCTGGCTTCATTCCCTGAGCTTAAAAAATAGAAACGTTCTTTTTATGGTTCATACAATGGAAAGATTTTAATGTACAACCCCTTCAGACCTGAAATGCATAGTCTTGATAAAAAAGCCTGTTTTTCTGGAACACTGTCCCTGTTTTGCAGGATGATGAGTGGTACGAACAAGCTACAGATGTCCGAGCACAGTTAAAGTTCTTTGAACAGCTGGAGCGTTTAGAAAAGCAAAGGAAAGATGAACAAGAGAGGGAAATCTTGTTAAAGGCTGCCAAGGTATCAGTTCTACTCTATTTTTCTTAACTGCTTAACCATTCATAGTCTTCAAACAATTATTTAATTTTGTGGGATCTGTTTCATAAACACATTTTGTGTCTTACAACAAAAATACTGTTGAACCCTCACACCTTTAACTCCTTCAGTCAAGCTCTGATCTGGGATGACTCCAGACCTACCTGACTGGAATTCTGTGTTTTGAGGATACAGCTCTGGATTTGATGAGTTCTTGGGAATACAGGAGACAATGGCTAAAATTTTCAAAGTAACTCTGGGAAATAATTTTTATAATTGCCTTTGAAATTTAAAAGATTCCAGGGTTTCTGTGCCCCTTGAAAATCATACCTCACACTTCTGGTATTTAAACATAGTTCAGTAAATTCTTGGGGATTTTTTTTTGAGGCTTTTTACTTTTTAAGTTTCTAGACTTTGTTTTGAACCAGTTTTTTTCATTTGTTTATCCTAATTTGTGTTCCAGTCACCTCTCTGTAACTGCATTATATGATTGATTCTTGCCTGTCTTCAATGAACTATCAGTTCTTCTGGACTTTGCTTCTTTGTAACTTCAATTCCAGAAACTCAATTTTTATACGTGCAATAGAACAAACTCAGATAATATTGTTTCAAGAGCACATAGGTATAGATAAATCTCCTGCTTATAACTGTAAATTTAATTATATATATATCACATCAAACTGCAAATAAGTTTATCCCTTAGTTGTCCTATTTCTAATTGTATTTGAATTTTCATTGAATTATTTATTTTATATGCTGAAAAGATTATACAGGAAAACTCAATGTTCAGTTGTAACACAGCCTCCTGATTTTGTGCCAATAATGTTCACGAATTGAGAGATTTTATTTTTTTTTTAAACCTAGCCTTGCTTGTTTCAGAAATCTATTTCTCAATTAGGGTACTTTAATCTGTCCTCTTTGCACTCTTAATTTGTAATTGCTCACGTTGTAAATATTCCACAAATTTTCCCATAACATTAGATACTCTTCAAATGTTTTGATGAAAATAGATTTGCTGTTTTCATTCTTAATTCTTATTTGTTAGAAATAAAGAAATGCCTATTTATTTTTTATCCTGTTTACTCCATTCAGTGAATACATCTTGATGAATCATGTTTTCTGTGTATCCTGCTGCTTGTTGTTTGTTTTGGTTGCTTTTTTAATGGACATTGAGAACAATGCAGTAGCTTGTAGTCCTTAGTTCAAAAATGTTTCCCTGACTGCACAAAGCAGGTTGATCTGAGATTGGGTTAGATGACCTCCCATTGTTCCTTCCAACTTGAATTCCTTCATGAATTGATATTCTTTAGTTTGGGTTGGTTTTTTTTCAGTTGTTGTTTTAGTCTTGAATAATATAAACTCCTGTGGAGTCAAAATTTAGGAAATAAATACATGATCATCAAGTTTGATTTCTACAGATTACAGGAAGAGCAAATTGAAGAATTCTGCAACAAACAAATGTAAAAGAGTCCCTTGATTGATTTGAAAAAATTACCTTAATGAAAGTAATGAATGCACAAATCAACTTCCTAACCAGGGAGTCGTAGGAGATGGCTTGGCATAAACACATGGTATCCTAGAAAAATACCTGGAGGTGTTGAAAAACCAAACCCAAACCACAGAGTAGCCATGGCAGAGCAGTGCTGATTTATCAATATTAATGTTTAGAGAGAGAAGTCGAAGATGTTGTGAACCTCTGGGGAGGTGCTTGTGAGATGTGGTGATTTGAGGGTAAATGCCAGTTTGGAACTGAACTGTGCAGTGTTCAGCTGGTGCTCCCCACTCTATCCCAGTGGATTGACAACCTCTTGCAAGACTTATGTAGGACATAGTTTGGCAAAAATATGGTGAGATTACAATTCTTTATTCTAAAGAACAGATTTTTCATTATTTCATTATTTCCTTAGGATCTGTGGTGCTGCTGAAATGCAAAAGTGATTTCTGTTGAGGTCTTTGTTCTGAATTCCTACACACTAATTCCTTCCCATGGATTTGGGGTTTTTTAAGGGTCCTTTATGAACTTGCCTAAGGATATCTCAGTCCTTGTGGAGAGGATGGAGTAATTGTAGTGGCACAGTTAAAATCTGCCCTGATAAACAGTGATTGTGTTGCAAAGGGGGTGATGGTTACACTGACTCTGCAGACTGAAATATCCACATGCAAATGTGTTGTTTCCCCAACCACAGCACCTTTGTCTTCTTGACAGTGTTGTCTTTATAAAGGACAGAAAAATTTGGGTTTTAAAATGAAATTACTGTTTGTTTTTTGGTTTTTTTTTTTTTTTTTTGCTGCAGGTGCTTAAATCTAAAAATCATACTTATTTTTATTTTTAACTGCAGCTTCTTAGTGGGCCTTTTAGACAAACAGAGTGATCTTTTATCTTGTGTTTTGACATTATTTTGCAACGTGTTTAATGAAAGTTTCAAAACTTCCTGCCAGTGGTACCTCATCTGCTGTCTCGTGTGGAAGAACATAAACAGGTTGAATGTGCACAGTGAAAATTCTTTTTTAATTATTTACAGTTTGGAGCCTTGTTAACAGCCAAAGTCCAGGTTTTGACAAAGAGTAAGATAGTGAAGGAAATGTTTCAGGCACTGGAGTGGATGGTATTAAATAATCAACTTAATCACAGAATAATCAATGGAGAAGATAATGAAAAATGAAGGAATAGATTGAAATCAAAGGGGAGGCAGCATGAGTCTTTGGGCAGCCTTGAAGCCAATTAGGTAATTTTGCATTAGAGTTCAGTAAGGGGTAAAAAAAATGCAAATGATGGTCAAGGAAAGTGTCAGGTTTGCAGGTTTTTGTTGTTTTGTGTGATGGGTTGGTTTCATTAGGAGGAGAAGGAAAATATTTGACAGGAGTGTTGTGGTTGATCTGCAACCACAATTTCAGTTGTTACAGTAGGATGTGTTTGCAGGATTTGTAAGCACCCAGATGGGGTTGGGTTTGCTTCAGAAACTGTTTCTGGGAGAATGAGAGAACAAATCAGATGGGCAGATAGAAGGAAAAAAAAAGGTTTCAAAAAATACAATTTTTGACATTGTGAGAAAAGTCACTGTCTAAGTTAAAATTAGTTGTGAAGCTCACAAGTAACAAGATAGCAGTATTATTTAGATTGTTAAATGAGAGAATATTAACAAAATCTTATGTCCCATGCTTGGGAAATACTTGAGAAATAGAAACTTCGTATCACAAGCTTAGAAGCACAATAACTGATGTTCTCATTCCAGTGAGAGACTGTGGGGGAAGACAAACTTGACAGGAAAGGCCAAAATCATACTATGCTACAGTAGCAATGCACCAGATAATTTCTTTTAAGTGAAAAACCTAAAAATTGAAAGCACAACTATGCTGTTTTGGGAGCTGGAATGATCTCTTGCACCTCGGGGGTCCTGCATCGTGTCCCCCAGTGTCCCCATACCAGCCTAGAAATGCCCAAAGCATTTCTCTAATATATTCCCAGTAATTCTTTCTATCATAGAAGTGCTTAAAGACATCTTGGTCCCCAGGCTGTGAGATCCAGTCACCTCCTGCTGCTGGAGCAGCTCCTGTTTCCCACCCTCAGGCACTCTGAGGTGTCCCCTGAGCTGTCAGGACTTTGGGGTTCCTTCCTGACACGTGCCAAAGGCTCATCTTACACATGAGCACGTGTAGAGCACAGTCTCTTTGAAGGAAATATTTGGGAGAGTCACCTCCTGGCCCTTGTTTGTTTTCCCAGTCAGGCCCCACTGGCTGTTGTTCCCAGGAGTGTGCAGGGCCAGACATCTCCTGCTCTGCTCTGAGGTGACTGCTACAGGAAAGAGCAGGAAGAGCTGAGGGAAGAGCTGCAGAAAGGTCAAAAGCCAGGCTAAAATCACTTGAGGAATGTACATTTGACATGGTGTGTGTTGTGTGGGCTTTCTAAAAAAAACCCAAACCCAACAAAGCACAGGTCTTACATAGTAAATCTGTGTTCTTGCTGCCTTCAGAGCTGATTCCAAAACCTGGGAAATGCAGGTGGTGTCTGTCAGATTGAAGGAAGTTCTGGTTCTGGTCTAGTAATGGAAATATTTCTGGCAGCAGGAGCAGTAGGAGGTTGTAGCTGATTTGTTGTTGTTTGTTTGATTTTATTTCTGATTTATTTTTTTTAGAGTGGTGATTTGTGCAGTGAAGATACACAGCTTGGGGTTGTCCTGGTTTTCAGAACATGAATGAATCATACTTGTGTGTTATAATCTATAATAAAGTGGATCATGTTAAAATTACTGTGTTAATTCATCTGCTCAAACTGGCTAAATGCATGTTTATTTTATTATAAAATTAACGTTGAAATTTAATTTCCAAGATATACAGTCTATTAGTCTGCTATTTTGAGTGTTCTGTGTTAGTAGCACAAGCCTGTCAAGTTTTTGGATCTTCAATATAACAAGATATCTTATTCACAAGAATAAGATCTGTTCTGTAAAAAGAAAATTTACATAAGTAAATGGAAAGTCATGTTTAGAGTTGTTTGCAAAGTTAATTAGCATTTATGGATGATAGTGATTTTTATAGTACTATGGGCTGAAGGGCCCTTTTATTGGAGAGCTCCCTGAAATTTGGCAATGCAGATTCCCTTACACACGTCCTGTGATGACTTGAAGGGGCTGCTCTGAGTCAGAGCTGAGTTCAGCCAATTCAATCCTTCCCCTCTCTTCTGAGAGCAGCCTTCTGTGAGATGGACTCGGAACTCCCTTCTGATGAGAGGAGAGCAAAGATAATCTCAGCGTGTTGGGATAATTTTCTGAATTTTTAAGAGTTTGTCACTGCAATTTTAATGATTTCAATATAAATCATTTCCCAGACCCGAGCTCTTGCGTTCCACCTCAGCGTGGCCGTAACGTCGAGCAGCTTTTCACCCTCAGCTATGATGCTTTTAACTTCCACTTTTTATTAACAAAGCTAATGTGAAAGCAAAGTGTTTCATGTCGCCGATTTAATTTCTTTAATTAGAAGTGAAAGTTATAAGCTGGTACAGCCGTGGGTGAAGTTCTAATGTCATCAATGGGGAAAAAATAGGTTTCAAATTGAAACTGTTGGCACAGCGGTGGCTCTCAACAGCACAGCACCTGCAGTGGTGACTCTTGACTTTATTTAATGAAAAAAGATGAAGTTGAAGCGTTAAAGGCTCCACTGTATGTATTGGGAAGGGGCAGTAGAGCTGCAAGTGCCTTTACTGGGATCAGGTGTAGCTAAATGCAGGAGAGACACGGTGAGACATTTCCTACCACAGGTGGAACAAGCTGAGAATTCAAAATTCTTACAGATCTAACAGAAAACTTTTTTTTGGTGGTGGGACAAAAATTTAACAACAGTGCAACTTTGGTATTACTAATCACAACAAAATACTGAATAATTTCGATAATTACATGCATCAAAGTACTATTACTCTGTCCATCTGCATACATAGAGTATCCTCCAATTTTAAAAGTAATTGGTGCTTGAATTTAAGTATTACATGGGCTTATTATTTTAAAAATACTGTTGCTTTCTAATTTAAGGCAATTCTGTGAAATCCAAAATCCCCTTAAAACTACACTGTTAGATGTGTAATTGTCTGTTTGTGTGGCCTCCTTCCTTAACACAAGCAAGGGGAAAAGCTGAGGTTTGGAACATTAGGGAGTTTGGTAACATGTAAACGAACCCCCTTATTTCTGTTGTGCTTTGAATACACACATTAAAATATGCTGCTTTTCATACTTTGAAAGTCCAATATTTCCATAGACCTAATGTGATCTATGCAGGTTTCAGATAAATAGGATAGCAAGTTCTCTAACACAAAGCACTTTCATTCTTCACAATTAAAATATGAGGCTGTCTGGTCTAATAAAGTTAGCTTGTGTTTGGGAGAAATGTTAACAAACCTGGTTTGGTGAATGAATTCTCAGTAGGAGACAGCATTTAATGTATTTAAAAAGTATGTAATCTGGTTAGGATCAGTCCTAGGTTTCTTCAAAATTACTATGGGAAACCAGCTTGCTTCTAAAAGTGTTTATTCATCAACAGGAAAATACATTACATAAATACAGCTTGCTTTATTTAGAGATCCAGGCATTATGAACAGGGAAGGGAAGGCAAAGGAGTTGTGATAAACTCCTTCAAAGTATTTGATTTGGTGGGTTCTGTGATTAGTGGGTGTTTCCAAAGCTTTAGAGGAAGGAGACATTGGTGTATTAAAAGATTTTGGAAAAGCATGTTTCACAGAACAGGTGAGATGCTGCATATTAATATTTGGATGTTAGAGGGGAAAGGGGAAAGGAAGAGAAACCCCAAAATATGAATGACTTCGAAGAAAAAGTTAAGCTGCAATTAAAAAAAAGCTAGGAATGATTAGTCAGTAGCTTGACAGAAGTAAGTGTAAAATACTAAAATAATTGCTTAGTAAAAATGGTGCCATGCAGACAAGCACTGCAAGAGCTGAGCAGCAGCAGAATTGTTCAGACTCTTCAGAGGAAGGGAAAGATGTTCACGTGTGGAATGGAGTGTAAAGGGAATCCAGTGACATTTTTAAAGCTTATCTGGGCACCTCTGTTAAGACTGACATTTTCATTTGCTTTAATCTGTGTTGCATCAGCATTGAAGAAGCATTTTATAATTTACATTAGATGGTAAAGTGAGGAATTAATGAAATAGTTGATGTTTATACTTGCCCTGTAACACATTTTAGCCTCCATATGCTGATTTTATTTCTGAAGGTTGCTGACATGGTAGGCAGCAGGAACGTATTCTAGTTTTAAAAATCTGGTTTTTTAAAAACTATTAAAATTTATCTGAACACAAAAAGAAGCAGAAAATAATTACAGGTAAATTCTTCAGGTCTTTTAGTAGTAATGACACATGCAATGTAAAGTTGGAATTCTGCTTGTCTGAAACGAGAGCTAGCCTGAGCTCTTTGGAAAGGCTGTTTGGTGTGGATTCGAGGAATAACTAGAAAATCATTGCATTATTCTAAATGCAAAAGTAATTCTACCTTCACCTTCAGTCTGGATATATATATGTAACTTCACCTGGTATTTTAGATCTTCGTTTTTGAAATAAAATCCTGTATATAGTATCATTCGGGAGCTAAGTATCTGGTCTCACCTCTGCAGTAATTTTCATTATTTATTTACTCCAGGCTGGAGGTTTACACAGAGCAGATCATCTGCTTTTGCTTGGTGAGATTATCCTGAACTCCAGATCTAATTTTATTTGGTAGGTTTCTGGGGAGGGGGAGGAAACCCCAACTCTTAAATGTGTTACTTTTTTACTCTGTAGCACTTTCAGAGTTTTTCCTTCACTTACACAGTCTAGGAAACTGCAGTGTTACTTTGCATCTATTGCTTTAATTTTTCTTACAATGTCCCCAAACACAATGCAGATCTGGTGTGTTTTCCAGGGTTCTATCACTTCCTTGTAGAAAGTTGGTAACAATATTAGAGGTCTCAGCTGGATTCTCCCAGGACACTCTGCTTTCTCCTTAAGCTGATGTGCTTTTAACTTGTGCTTTGCATTTGGCAAATGTTTCAGCTTCATACAGTGGTGTAACAACACTTTGTGTTTCTGTACTGCTTTCACTCTGAGACTCAGAAGGCAATAGAAGTTCATTATACGTTTATAAATTTATCATCAAAACCCATGAAAGGGCTAAATGTGCTTTTCCATACATCATACTGGAGAAACTGAGGCTCACAGTGATCGAGCTGTCACTGCAAAACCACAGAGCAAGGACTGGTTCAGCTCAGTTCATAAATACTTACCTGAGCCCATCTCCTAGAGAAGCAACTCACTGAATGGGGTGGTGTTCCTTTGGTTTTTTAACCTGATAGGTTTAAATCTAATCAAGTTTTTAGTAATTGCTGTGCTGAATAGAGCCCCAGCTCTCTGGCAGATCCACGTATTTCATGAAATACCTTTTTGTCCTTTGGACATTAACTAGGTCAGATTATCTACATTTTTGTTTGGCCACAGCATTAGAAGGAATATCAGTCTGTGTTAAGGAGGAGTTTCTTTCTTGGTTGGCACAACTACAACACGAGAGTCTGACTTGGTCATTGGCCATCTCAGGTTTTAATTTGTCCTTCACTGCAGACACTCTTCTGTCAAACAGCCTGTTGTGGCAACAGGCACAAAAGGTGTTGGTGTTGGAAGGTGTTGGTTGGTGTAGGTGGTGTTGGAAGGTGGAGCTGATGTGCACAGTGGGAGAGTGTTAAGCACATCATCTAAAAATCTCATTATTGTTTAATTTGACCATGCTTTATCATCACTGTGTTTTATATGTGTGCTACATGAGCTGAGAAAAAACAATCCCAGTTAAAAAAACAAACCAAAACAACACAAACCAACAAAAACTAACAGGAGAAAGGATAGAGAATTCGGTGCCATTGTTGCCCTGCCTGCCAAATCATAGCCAGGGCAGTCTCCAGGTCTATCAAGAATACTATGTGACTCTTTTAAGGGTCTCTCTTTGGTTTTCTTAAAGGATTTTTAAATTCTGAACAGAATATGGTAAGAGAAATTCAAACACCAGGAAAAAAATCTGAGCATATGTGAGTTTGCAGACTAACGTTCTTCCAGGTTTCATGTCTGTCTTCAGCATAGCAATAATCAGAGAAAGACAGAGAGGAGAGGGCATAGATATTCTTATTCCTTTAGGAGTTGTGTTCATGGTATCACTTTTAATCTTGAAGAAATACTGAAATAAAACTACTGCATCTCTCAGGTGTCAGGATCAACAGTTTTCTGTGGGTGTCACAAGTTCTGTTGCAGCTTCTTGCAACTTTTTATGCAGCCTTTGTTGAATGCTGACCTATCAGGCAATTATAAAAGTAGAATGCCTGTATTATCTGCCTCTTGACTTCTGAATTCCATCATTCTGAATGCTCAGTGAGCACAAGTAAGAATTGAAAAGTTTCAACATCTGGTTGTAAAATAGTCTGTATCTAAAGAAATGCACTGCTATGGGTTGTTTTTGCAATTAAACAATTATTCTTAATGGGTTTTTAGAGCTGTTGTTCCTGGTTTTGAAGGAAAATACAGAGGTTACCATTTAGCAATATTTATCCAGTTTTAGAAATGACAACAGTAATATCAGTAGTGCATGAATGGGTTTAACATGTGTGTGTTCCTGTGCTGTACTCACAGTAAGCTCATAGGGGTAGTAGCATCTTTATTATGATTTACCTTTTGGGAGGGTGACTTTACAACTGTTTTCTCCACGTTCTCTAATTAAAAGCTGAATTACAAATAGTAAGTTTTAAAATAAGTGACTGTAAGGAGTTAAATAAAAAATTTCAGATAGTGGAAATGGTGTCACTTTCACTCTTGGATGCTTGAATTCATTTGTATGGAATAATTGAAATCTAAACCTGTATGGAAACTTTAGCATTGACAAAAACATGGGGTTTTTTGGGGTTTGGGTTGATTTTTTTTTAATTTAAATCTACAGGAGATCTTATTTACAACTGAACATTTAACAGTCTTTTGGGTGAGGTTTATGGGTTCGAAATTGCTTTTCTATCAATTTAAGTGCCCCGTGTTTGATACTTTGTATCCTGTTCCTATTGCTTTGCTATTTTTTAACTTACTGCAACAGATGAGGGGTTCTTAAACCGTCTGTTAACCTTTTTTCCCCATTTTTTTAACCATGTAGAGTCGCTCAAGGCAAGAAGACCCAGAGCAAGCTAGACTGAAACAAAAAGCAAAGGAGGTAAGCAGAGCTAGAGATCATTACACTTGACATTTCAAGGCTCGAACATATTAATTTTTTATGCCTTGCTACTTGTATATCGTTAATAAAAATCTGACTAAAAACTTTTTAGGATGTATTTGTTGCTTTGCCTTTGATCTTAATGTTTGCAAACTAATACATTAATACATGTGAAGCCTAAGGAGATTTTATAAGAGAATATTTCCATACATTACATTTTCATTTCCATTTTAGGTAGCTGTAGCTTTTGTTGGGTTGTTGATGACAGCAGCTCTAGATTTTGGTGGAAAATATGTGCCTTTGTCTTTTTTTGTAAAATCTCACTTTCTTAGAAATGTGCTACTTAACAATTTTGTTCTGGTAATGTTCTTTCAAATAAAGTAATTGCCAGTCAGTTCCTCTTCCGTGTGATGCAGTGGAATATTTACTTATCTGTCTAAATTACAATAATCTAAAAATTATCAAATAACTTCAGATCAAGTTGTGACATGTTACTCTAAGAATTACAATTTGTGAACTATTGAGTACCTTAATTTGCTTTAAATTGGAGTGACTGTCCTTTGCTTAAGGCATCTCGTGATTTAGGATTGGGTTGTAACTTAAATCAGTCAGAAAGTCTAAAATATCTATCAGTTGAAAGTAACTTCAGCAAACTAATGCTGGTTTTTTTAGCCAACTTCCTTGGATATATACATTAACAGGTAATAATTATATATTAGAAACTAATATATACGGAAAAATGCAAGTTTTTTATTGAACTGTTCTTCCTGTTTTGTTTCCCCCTTGACAGTGTTCTATAGTCCCGTTAGCTATACAGATTTTATATATATAACAGTAAAAAAAATCCAGATTCATGGCTGAGTTTTATTTCTTTATTTCATTGTGATTGTGTAGTAAGATTTTCTGAAGTGAATTCTTGTAAACATTACACCAGGCCTTAGTGTTTCCAGAGCTGGATTTGTCAGGCAAGTATTGAAATGAAATAGAGTAATCAAGTTATTTGGCAGGAAAAGAGACAAGATTTTAATACTACTTGGATTTTGTACGTAGCTGGTGTATGCAAAGGAAGAATCAGATAATTAATGGCAGGCAGAACTTGCTGTTGAGCTGAGAACCAAAGCTGCTGGAAGTGCAAGTGGGCTGGAATATTTAATTCCATGGCATTGCTGCCACAGAATTTGCTTTCATGCTAATTCTTTTTTGGCCGCTGGAAACTTGAGGAAGCAAAAGCGAACACCAGGGTCAAACCCCCACATTTGCAGTGGTCCGAGGGAAGTCGGGGTTCTCTTGCCGGCTGTGCTAAAGGTGTGCACCCCGGGCGGTGCTGGGGGTGCGAGTGCAGCGCTGCTGCCCTGGCCGGGAATTGGGGTTTCCCGAAGGAGCCGATCGGCTCCCGCTAGAGGGAGCGAGGCCGTGCTGGCAGGGAACAGCAGTGCATGGAATGCACTCGGAGCACTGAGAGCGGGGCTCTTGGGAAACAGGGAGCAAATATTTTGGTGCTAACCTAATTGAAAATGCTTGGATCACACCGGTGTGTGATTTTCAAGCAGTGCCGTTCCTGGGAACAATAAAATTTGCAGTTCCAATTCCTGGGCAGGGGCAGAGGAGGGGCAGGGACTGAGCTCTGCTCTGGGGGGACCAGGGACAGCAGCCAGGGAATGGCTGGAGCTGTGTCAGGGCAGGCTCAGGTTGGATCTCAGAAAAAGGTTCTTCCCCCAGAGGCTGGTTGGGCACTGCCCAGGCTCCCCAGGGCAGTGGGCACAGCCCCAAGGCTGCCAGAGCTGCAGGAGGGTTTGGCTGATCCTCTGGGGCACAGGGGGTGACTCTGGGGATGGGCCTGTGCAGGGCCAGGGGTTGGACTGGATGGTCCTTGTGGGTCCCTTCCAGCCCAGCACATTCTGGGATTCTGTGATTTGAGTCAATTCAGGAGGAGTACTGGCTTTTCCCTTTGAGTGCTGCACCCTGTTCTTTTGTACACCAGCCCTGCCTTCCTTCCCACCCTTCTAATAAAAGTGTATAATTTGCTGGCACTGTGCCTCTCTCTGAAGTTGAATTTCATTCTACATGTTTGAAACCATAAGAAATATAAGCATGTCTCTGTTTTTAGTAATCAGGTTTCTGAAGCTCTTTCTTCAACTGGTTTAGAGACTTTCACTTGAAATATTAAAATTTATTTAGTAAAAACATTTTCTTTTGCGAAGGGGAGTGGGGTGTGGTACTGGCAAGATTTTGTTTTAATATTGTTCATATTTTTTTCTGCATTAGATACTGGATTTATGCTGATGTCTCATGATATTGGCACTTCCAAAATAAAATATAACCCATTTTATAGTATAAAAGGTTGATTAGGAAAACTGTCTCTGGCATGCCTTTGTCATTTGAAATTACAGGCTTTGAATCAACACCTACAAAAATGTGAAAATTTTAAAACTTCACTGCCAGCTGGGCTACTCTTAAATGTGCATATGACCCATAACTCAGAGAGAAATTGGGTTTCTTCCAGGTTTTGTATAAGCTGATGAATATAATACTGTCAGCTTTGATAATAAGCTGGATTTGAAGCTGTGTTTCCATGATTTCTGTGTTTTGGGTATTTTCTGAAGATGTTTGTTGCTCAGGTATTCTTCTGGACAATAGTAAAGTGACTTTCAGGTAGTGTTTTGAAAAGCACAAAGAGGGCATCCAAGAAACCTGCAGCACTTCTAGGCTGTGTTACTTGTTTAATGATATAATTGTCAGATAGTTTGTTTTTTCATCCCAGCAAAACAGCTATTTAGTATGTTCTGAAAGAGGATAATGTTTCAGACTTTCATCAGTTTAAACAGTGACACTACTGTCAAAAATCAGAGGGAGAAAGTGAAATACCAAAACAAGTAATTTAAAGTCTTTTAAGAAAGTCTTCTAAATCTTTTAGGAAAAAACTTCTCAAAACATTCAAAGAGCTGTAGAAAACATTGTCTTTGAATGCAAAATAAAGGTACCTATACAAGGATAATAGGATGAAGAGGAAAGAAAGAAGGCTAACCAAGGGTATTTGTTGCAAAACATTCTCCTTTATGGATATTTTGGAGTTTTCATTCAGTAACACTCTGTTTTCCTTCCTAATTTAAAAAGAAAAAAAAATTAGTTCAATTTATTTCACAGGACATCTACCAGTTCCCTTCTTGTTTATTAGTGTCATGAAGACAATGTACAGTGGGATCTTTTGAACACATTTTAAAATTAATCTGTAAGGTGAAGATTGTTGGGGTTTTTTTTCCTGTAACTCCATCTTGCTCATTTATTAGCCAGTCTTCAAACCACTCTGCAGGTTATTTAAACCAAGTTGGCATAAATCAAGTTTAAACTGCATTTAAATACTTACCCAAGCAAACAGAAGGCCCAATACATATGGTCTTATTGCAGGGACCAGATAACTGAGGTTTCATTCCTACCCCAGCACTGTTTTAGTTAAGCCAGAGCAAACCCACTCTGATTCCAGCCTGAGTGGCTTGTTTTGCTTTAGTATTAACCTGTTTCAAATGGACTGGAGTGAAAGCAAGAGAATGTGCCTTTGGGGGGCTTTATGGCTCAAAACTCTCCCTTTACTTTCAGACTTTTAAATTGGTGCAGCCTTTTGTCAGTGGACAACATATGATTGTTTTAATGGTAAACCTGTTTAATAAACTATGGAAAAGTACTTTCCATTGAGACCATTTCAGGGAGAAGTGCTGCTCTTCAGCTGTTACTTGTTGCATCTCTTTGTAACAAATTCTGAGATGTTTGATTTGTACAATTTAATGTAAGAAATAGCATCATTTGTGAGCAGTGACTAAAGCTTTTAAAGTCAAGTTTTAGGAAATACACTGATTTATGTAGTTGGGAAGCGAGACAAGTCACAAATGTAAGTTAAAGAAATTATGAGTTCTCTAATTTCCATTAAAAGGCTTCATTAAATAGAACATAAAACAGGCCATATGACTGATAGCAGGAATAGATCAAGATTAGAAAAAACTGAGTCAACACCTAGTAATTAATAATACAAATGGTTTCAAGGGAAGGCAGGGAGGGTAAGATCCTAAACATCCTTTCTGTCAGGGATATTTTTCCACATATTCAGGGTCTGTTGGCTAAAAATGTTTAAAAATGTTTTAATTTAAAGTCAAGCAGCTGAGCTTGATCCTGAAAGATTAACTTGGTTAAAATCTTTGTGTCATCACCAACCGAGAATATTGCATAATAATAAAAACTTAAACCAGACACCATAAATGTCTGGGCATGTATCCAGGACCTAGATCAGCTGAGATAACACTCAGTTGGATCTGCTCTCTGAGGACTCCTTAACCATGCAAGGGAAATCTCAGACCTGTGGATATACATCCTATGGAAGCCTTAGGATTTTGGGGAAGGGAGGAGACAGCCCTTTGCATACCTTTGTCAGCAGGGGTAGCCCATCTTCCTGAGGTTGGACAAGGTCCTTTAGCAGGGATGTGCGTTTGGGGGGTTGCTGCTGGGAGTGTTACCCTGGCCAGGAGCCTTGGGAGTGCTCAGCTCTTGCATCAGCTGAGCAGGGACAGGTTTTTTCCACCCTCCCAGAAGAAGCTGCATCCAGCATTGTGGTAAGCACAGTGCTTGGGTGCTGCCATCCCCGTGGCTGCAGTGCCCTCTGGAACAACAGGCTAAGGTTTAGACTTTAAACTATATCCTTTTCTGAGTTATATGCAGAAAAATATGTGGACTGTTAGCAGATGGGTTCTCTAAGAAGCTATAGGATCCTTCTCTTAAAAATAATTAAATATGTACATCATAGGATGTATATCTTCCGTGGCTCTAACGTTGCCTTAGAGATTTTAAATTCCTCAGAAAAACATAACTTGTCATAGCAGAATTACTGAAACTCTGGTATCGTTTACTTGGCGATTACAATATGAAAACAATTTTACTCTAAATAATTTCTTGTCACCACACTAATATTTATTTATCAACTCAGTAGAAGTGGCTTCTTTTAAAATATTTAAATG